CCCGCCCGCACACGGCTCCCACCCTGCGGCCCCTCCCTCCCCGGCAGACAAAGCTCCTTCTGCAGCAGATGCTACGGGCAGGAGCCCCGACCGAGGACGATGGCTCCCAGCCGGACTGGAGGAAACGCCCTCCCCCGCCCTTGCCGCAGGGCGAATCTCTTGGCCTATGGGAGGAAGCTCAGCTGCTGACTACGAGGCACTGTCCCTTACAGGCCTCTCTCCAGGGGAGCGATTTGGGAGGTTCAGGGCTGGACGTGCACAAGTCCCTGGGCCCAGGGCGCCGAGAGTTGGCTGGTGTGACTAGAGCCATTGGCGTTACCTCTAAAACCGCGTGTGATCAGGGAGTCCCTGAATGGCTGGAAAGAGGCAAACAGTGTCCCTGCTTGCAAAGGGGAGGGAGAGCTCAGGGTGCCAGAGCCACCCCCGAGTGGGACTCAGCGCCCCTCCCTGCTGCCAATCCCAACCAAACACGGAGTGGCCTCTGCTCTACACAAGCCCCCTCTGGAGCAACGGCCACGGCCTCCCCACCATGGCCCTGCCCCTGGCCTGGCCTGACCTGAGTCTGTCCCGTGCCAGCAAGAGCTGCCCGTACACCATCTGGGCCTCGGCATCCGGGTCGAGGGGGTCGCTCCAATCCCCCAGGGTCACGGCAGAGTGAGTCCGGCTGCAGCCGCACGCTGGGGCAAGACAGAAAAGACTCTCGCAAAGAGCCCTGGGGGGCTGCCAGGCAGGCTCAGGGTACAAGGGCCTGGCTGCAGAGCGGGTGGCTCCCAGGGCCCAGCTGCTTGGGGCTGCATGGCCTCCATACCTTCCCCCAGCCCACGTGCTGCACCAGTGTGGCCTGCACGGGGGGTGGCTGGGGCTCAGGCCCCTTCCCCAGCGTGCCTCCCTCTGAGAAAGGGCTCAGCTAAGGCCCCGTGCCCGTCGCCTCCCAGGTTCGAGCGCCGGCGCAGGCCTGGCCATCAGCTGTCTGTGTGAGGCGGGGCTCACGGCCTGGGGTGGAAGGGGCAGCTTGCTGGGTGTGATGGGGAGAGGCCTGGACCCTCCACCAGCCCCACGTGCGGAGGGGCTGTGGGTCCAACCCCTGCCCTGGTTACCTGTGCGGAGGGGCTGGGGGCCCAAACCCCTGCCCTGGTTACCTGTGCGGAGGGGCTGGGGGCCCAAACCCCTGCCCTGGTTACCTGTGCGGAGGGGCTGGGGGCCCAAACCCCTGCCCTGGTTACCTGTGCGGAGGGGCTGGGGGCCCAAACCCCTGCCCTGGTTACCTGTGCGGAGGGGCTGGGGGCCCAAACCCCTGCCCTGGTTACCTGTGCGGAGGGGCTGGGGGCCCAAACCCCTGCCCTGGTTACCTGTGCGGAGGGGCTGGGGGCCCAAACCCCTGCCCTGGTTACCTGTGCGGAGGGGCTGGGGGCCCAAACCCCTGCCCTGGTTACCTGTGCGGAGGGGCTGGGGGCCCAAACCCCTGCCCTGGTTACCTGTGCGGAGGGGCTGGGGGCCCAAACCCCTGCCCTGGTTACCTGTGCGGAGGGGCTGGGGGCCCAAACCCCTGCCCTGGTTACCTGTGCGGAGGGGCTGGGGGCCCAAACCCCTGCCCTGGTTACCTGTGCGGAGGGGCTGGGGGCCCAAACCCCTGCCCTGGTTACCTGTGCGGAGGGGCTGGGGGCCCAAACCCCTGCCCTGGTTACCTGTGCGGAGGGGCTGGGGGCCCAAACCCCTGCCCTGGTTACCTGTGCGGAGGGGCTGGGGGCCCAAACCCCTGCCCTGGTTACCTGTGCGGAGGGGCTGGGGGCCCAAACCCCTGCCCTGGTTACCTGTGCGGAGGGGCTGGGGGCCCAAACCCCTGCCCTGGTTACCTGTGCGGAGGGGCTGGGGGCCCAAACCCCTGCCCTGGTTACCTGTGCGGAGGGGCTGGGGGCCCAAACCCCTGCCCTGGTTACCTGTGCGGAGGGGCTGGGGGCCCAAACCCCTGCCCTGGTTACCTGTGCGGAGGGGCTGGGGGCCCAAACCCCTGCCCTGGTTACCTGTGCGGAGGGGCTGGGGGCCCAAACCCCTGCCCTGGTTACCTGTGCGGAGGGGCTGGGGGCCCAAACCCCTGCCCTGGTTACCTGTGCGGAGGGGCTGGGGGCCCAAACCCCTGCCCTGGTTACCTGTGCGGAGGGGCTGGGGGCCCAAACCCCTGCCCTGGTTACCTGTGCGGAGGGGCTGGGGGCCCAAACCCCTGCCCTGGTTACCTGTGCGGAGGGGCTGGGGGCCCAAACCCCTGCCCTGGTTACCTGTGCGGAGGGGCTGGGGGCCCAAACCCCTGCCCTGGTTACCTGTGCGGAGGGGCTGGGGGCCCAAACCCCTGCCCTGGTTACCTGTGCGGAGGGGCTGGGGGCCCAAACCCCTGCCCTGGTTACCTGTGCGGAGGGGCTGGGGGCCCAAACCCCTGCCCTGGTTACCTGTGCGGAGGGGCTGGGGGCCCAAACCCCTGCCCTGGTTACCTGTGCGGAGGGGCTGGGGGCCCAAACCCCTGCCCTGGTTACCTGTGCGGAGGGGCTGGGGGCCCAAACCCCTGCCCTGGTTACCTGTGCGGAGGGGCTGGGGGCCCAAACCCCTGCCCTGGTTACCTGTGCGGAGGGGCTGGGGGCCCAAACCCCTGCCCTGGTTACCTGTGCGGAGGGGCTGGGGGCCCAAACCCCTGCCCTGGTTACCTGTGCGGAGGGGCTGGGGGCCCAAACCCCTGCCCTGGTTACCTGTGCGGAGGGGCTGGGGGCCCAAACCCCTGCCCTGGTTACCTGTGCGGAGGGGCTGGGGGCCCAAACCCCTGCCCTGGTTACCTGTGCGGAGGGGCTGGGGGCCCAAACCCCTGCCCTGGTTACCTGTGCGGAGGGGCTGGGGGCCCAAACCCCTGCCCTGGTTAAGTAGGACAGGGCCTCACTGCTCAGCCAGAAGTAGCGTTTTTGGAAGGTGAAGCGCGGAAGCAGGTGGAGTCCCTCAGCCTTGTGCTTGTGCAAGTAGCCCTCCTTGATGGTGAGCGAAGGGTGGAACAGCGTCCGGGGCTGGGCCTCGCCCGCTGCGTGCACAAGAGACCAGCCTTACCCTGTGGCCCTGCGACCTGGTGAGACTCCGGCGCCCGGGGAGAGGTGGGCTCTCC